CCAGTAACCTGCCAGAGAACAAATTAGGCTGCTTTGGCGGGATTTGTTCTTGACAAAGCCATACTGGCTCTTCCTGATCGCTCAATAATTTGTCCCAGTATCTTGCCAGGTATCAAAGTTAGTCTGTAACGTCCCGGTTCTCTTTCTCCCCCGTTGTAAAGACTGTTTGCCCATCTCCAGTTCTCTGGGACCTCACCCGTCCTGCCTGAGTTCTCGAAGACCATCTCCAACGCTTCCGAGATGGCTTCACCTAGTTCCCGAAGCACCCTTGGGTGGCTTTCCGCAGGCCCTGCTGACGTGACTCCATCGCACTTGAGCACATGCAGAGCTTGGGTGGCTAAGGTTGGCCGAGGCCCTGAAGCAGGAGGTGTAATATCCCTTCCAGAACTTGAGGGGCTAGTTGGGATCACCCGGGATGTTCTTGTCATCCACGGGAAAGTCCAGCCCCTCTTTGGCTCTTGTCTCCCGAGAGGAGAGTGGGGAGAGCTGGAGGCCGGCGGACGACCTGGAGTCGTTCCTGTGGGGCAGGCTCCTTCCTTTCCCGTCGTCGTTCACATGAGCGGTGATCCCTTGGGGTGTCCCTCGGCCCCAGCCCCCCTGCGATCCTTCGGGGGAGCGTCGCCATCCCAGGGGGCTGCGGGGCCTTGGCACAGACGGGGAGAGGAGTGGGGGTAGCGAGGCCTTGGAGAACCGGCTGCGTTTGCTTTGGGAGCGGGGGGCAGGGGGAGCTGGCAGAATGACGGGGAATAGGGCTGGGAAAGGCCCGTGTGGTCCCACCTCCTTCAGCTCCTGGGGCCACTGCAGGTGGGTTCATTCTCCCGGGCTGCGTCCTGTCTACTCTGCCATGTCCCAGGGGCCGTCCTCCATTCACAGCCTGACAGACCCCCCCCTCCTGCGGCCGCCGGCCGGCTCTCCCAGAGCACCCCGGCCTGCTCCGCCGTGCGCCCAGGCCTGCCAGGAACGGCTACGGTGAGGTGGGTGGGCCGGACACTGCACAGGGAGGGTCGGGCACCCAGGGGAGCAGCCTGTCAACGAGGGCTCCCGGGCAGGCGCCCACAGCAAGGGGGGAGCATGCTGGGGGCAGTTACCTGGGGCGGGGGTTACTTTACTGAGAGCCTTTCCCTGTGTCCAGCCCTGGGGAAAGGCACCAGGCTGCCAGGACAGGGGTGGGGCCAGCTCCCCCCACATGCCCTGACAACGGGCCCCTAGGACAGGGGCTGCATCCCAAGGGCCTGTCCCGCTGATGGGGGGGGGGGCAGGAGGTACCCGTGGTCTTTGAGGTGCAGCCGCCCGTCCCATTGGGAGCCAAACTGAGACCCCCCACTCGTCCCCTCAGGTGACAGGCCCCATCCCCCGAGCCATCCAGTCCCCCGACCTCTGCTAAGGCGAGCCTGGTGCAGCCAGCATGGGGTGCTCGCGGGGCCCAGGGGTCCCTGTACCTGGGGGGGGGGGAGCTGGGTACAGGGCTGGCACCAGGCCAGGGAACAGCTGTGACCTGGCCCCCGCTGTCCCTCTGACGCCGCCTGGCTCCTGCGGGTGTCCCAGAGACGCCCCGAGTCTCCGGCTTGCCGCAGTGACCCCAGCTCCTCTGCCCCTCCCCTGCACTCCACACTTGCTGCTCAATCAGCAGCTAATGGGGCTGCTGCTAAGTGGGCTCCTTCCCGCTGCGGCTCCTCTCGGCTGAGTCAACCCCCCGCCCCCATCAGCTGCTTTCTCCTCAACCCCCTTCCCCCATCTGCCCCTCCGCCAGCCCCCCTTCCTGCGCCGTCCCTCATGGTCCCCTGGCCGCATCCTCCTTCCTCTCCTCACCTCCTTTCCCCACAGTCTGCTCTGCTCCCCTGCCCCGGCTCTGCCCCCTTCCCGGCAGTGGGGCAGGAGCAGGAGGAGGGCTGGGACGGGGGTGGGGGAACAGCTAGGGTTGGAGCAAGGTGGGTTTGAGGAGCATTAGCAGAGCTGGGGGGGCAGATGGGCTGGGACAGCAGGGGCTGCAGGTTGGGACGGGGGGGATTGGCAGGGTTTGGGGGAGCCCAGGGCTGGGATAGCAGAGGCTGCGGGTCGGGATTCAGGGGGATCGGCAGGGCTCGGGGGGGCAGACGGGCTGGGATAGCAGGGGCTGCGGGTCGAGATGGGGGGGATCATCAGGGATGGGATAGCAGAGGCTGCGGGTTGGGATTGGGGGGGATCATCAGGACTGTGGAGGGCAGACAGGCTGGGATAGCAGGGGCTGCAGGTCGGGATTCATGGGGATCGGCAG